TTATGGTGTAGTACAATGATACAGGAAGTTACTAGAATGCCCCTGATTAGTGATGGGACACCCAGACAACTTAAAACGTTAAACATTAGGCCCATTAACAAAGGCCCAGTACAGGACAACTTAAACTTAAGTATAGGCTAATAAGAACTCTTATCAGCCGAATACTCATACATACAAAGACTTCAATCCAACATCTCTCAAAAGGGGGTAGGCTTACTCTCTTAAAGGCCTCCTTATCAAATCTGCCAGTATACTTTCTTTCAGTATTCTAGAATCCAACCTAAGTTAGAAATCAGATTGAGAAGCTTCAAAGGAACTTTCTTTGGGAAGGTGGTGGAGATAAGAGAAACCATTTAGTCAGCTAGAAACAAGTATGTAGACCTAAAGAGGAAGGCGATTTGGGTATTGGACAGCTTAAAGAGAAAAATTCTTCCTCTCCTAGGAAAATGGCTTTGGAGATTTCCAAAAGGACCCAATGCTCTTTGGACAGCTGTCATCTCAAGTAAATATGGACGAAATACAAACGGGTGGGATTGCAATCTCCATTTGAACAGGATAAAGGCCACAAATCCTTGGAAAGGTATTTGTTCCATTCATACTTCTTTCTTTCCTTTTATAAGTTATAAAGTGGGAAATGGTTCTAAAATTAAATTCTGGAAAGATCTTTGGTGGGGGGGATCTACCCTAGAAGCCTCTTTCCCTAGGCTGTTTAACCTTACCCTTGATCAAGAAGCCACTATTTCTACCTGTCTCCCAAACCAAATTGTCGAGAATTCTTTAAACCTCCACCGCAGAAGACCCCTAAGGGACTCGGAGATTTCTGATTTAATAGCCCTAATTCAAACCCTCAAAGATGCCTACATATCCCCTTCTCATTCTGACACCCGAATATGGACCCTTCACCCAAATGGTGAATTCTCTTCTAAGTCTATGTTCAGGGCTTTGATTGCTGATGAAAAGCATTCCTCTTTTCCTTACAAGAAAATCTGGTGTAGCCACATCCCTTCAAGAATTGGCTTCTTTGTTTGGGAAGCTTGTCTCCAGAAAGTTAATACTTGTGATCTCCTATAGAAAAAACTTTTGGGAAGACGCTCCATATCTCCTCATGTTTGTATTTTATGCCTCAGCGAGGGTGAATCTGCAGATCACATCCTTCTTCACTGCAATTTCACTCAAAGGATATGGTCCCACTTCTTGAAAATGGCAGGTTATAGTTGGGCTTTTCGAAAACACATTATGGACATATTGAATCAATGGCAAGGAACAAGGCTAAGCAAAAGGGGTAAAGTATTTTGGCAATCAGTGCTACATGCAGTGTTGTGGGGTGTTTGGGATGAAAGAAACARYCGCCTCTTTGACAATAAAAGCAGAACCTTGGAGGAATTAATCTCAGATATTACCTACCTTTGCATCCTTTGGACGGTGAATTCAGCTCTGTTCAAAGGACTTTCAGTCAATGATCTTATCAGAAATGTTCACCCTTTTCTGTTTCTTCCTCATCCCAAGCAAACATCCTTGAGGCATCCCGTATCCATCAGTGAAGGAGTGATAACCCTTAATTTTGACGGGTGTGCCTTAGGTAATCCTGGCCTTGTTGGTACTGGAGGTATGGCGAAAGGGGCAATCTATGCTGGACTTTTAGTGGTCCAGTCGGCTGGGCTGACTCCACAAAGGCTGAAGTGATGGCTGCTCTCACCGGAATCAGGATAATAAAAAATTTGGGAATTCAGAATTTGATCATTGCAGGTGATTCAGCAAATACAATAAAATGGTTAAGAGACAAAGAGGGGGGCCCTGGAGACTGAATCATTATCTGACTGAAGCTTGGGATTCTTTGGATTGTTTGAATGTTAATTTAGTTTGGATTCCTAGGGAACACAATCATACTGCATATGGCCTAGTTAAATTTGGTGTGTACTTGGAGCATTTGTATGGCGACAAGCTTCCTCCTTTGTAACTTGTAGGGGTTCTCCCCTTGCTTTGTATATCTCCCCTTGTTCCCCCTCTTTTTCTTAATAAATTCTGGTTAAATTTTCTCAAATATTATTAATTGATGAAACTAATGAATGATTAAATGCAAAATTAAATTTATGGACATTCCTTAAGAGGTTTTAGAATAAGTAGGGCTAAATCAGAATATATGCTTTCTAAATTTAACAACAATAGGAGTTCAAATCAAGGTACATTTAGGATTGGAAATGAAGAGATTACTCGATGCAACTTTTCAATAATCCATTAGAAGGAGAGATTGAGGATGTTGCCCATAGAATTAGAGCAGGATGTGAAAAATGAAGGGGCACCATAGTTTTCAAGGCGCCAAGGCAAACCTAGGTGACAAGAGAGCACTTAGTCGCCTAGGTGCCTGCCTAAGCGTCACTTAATGTTCAGAAAAGGACAGAACAATAAAGAGCTGAGCCCCTGTTTTTGTCATAGAAATATTAGTAAAAGAAGGGGTGTAGCCCTTGTTTTTGTCATGGAAAAAAGAAAGCATGAATATAATCCTTAGAAATGATGAAGAGGAAAGGATGGAGCCCCTGTTTTTGTTCTAGAAGAAGAAAAAGAAGAGGCTCCTCCCTGTTTTTGTTCCAAAAACAAAATAAAAAGAAGGGGCGGAGACCCTGTTTTGTTCCAGGGGTGGAGCCGAGCCTCTGTTTTTGCTCCAGAAGAAAAGAAGGGGCGGAGCCTCTGTTTTTGTTCGAAAAAAAAAAAAGAAAAGAAAAGGAAGAAGGTGGAGCCCCTGTTTTTGTTCCAAAAAAAAAAAAAAAAAGAAGGGGTGGAGCTCCTGTTTTTGTTCCAAAAAAAAAAAGAAGGGACAAAGCCCCTATTTTTGTTCAAAAAAAAGGAGAAGAGAAAAAAGAAAAAAAGGGCCACACCTTTCTTTTTGATTTTTTTTGGCCTTTTGTTTTGTATTTTTGCACTTTGCCTAAAAAAGACACGCACCTCGCCTTGCACCTTGCGCCTCAGGCACAAATTGCCCCTTGCACTTTTAAAACACTGGTTCTCTTTAATGCTGTGTTTTATGTGTCACTTAGATTTGCCATGTGTTTTTAAGAGATTGTTCTCATGCATTATATTAGTGATTTATATAATATCTATGGAGTATGAATTGACATGGTTTTCTTTATGGTAAAATTAGTTGACCCATGTATAGGAGACATCACAACCAAAACATTGAGACAACTACATGTGGATGAGGATGCCGAGGAAAGGTTCCAGGCTGACCTTCAAAAGGCTGTACGCCAAAGTCTTGGTAATGCTATTTTATTCTTGTTATTTGATTTTGCACTTTTACCTATCTGTGTAGATTCTGTAGAATGAGATTCTATATGCAGTTCTCTTTGGGATTTTGTGAGATTCGGCTTAGTTCTTTAGCTGGTTGACTGGTTACACTATTTGATATAGTTTTGCATTTTTCACTCATTCTACCTGTATACTTTAATTTTTGTTTTTGTTTTTAATTGTTAATGAAAAATGTCTCTTTAAAAATGTAAAACTAAAGAAGCCAGTCAATACATGTGCTGACATGCAGACATACACATTGGTGAATGTACATACTAATTTTTGTGATAGGCCAAAACTTAGTATTTTATATTTTTTTATTTCCTCCCTCTCCACCTGTCATAAAGTGTATCATTCTCCATAAGCTTTGGCGTTTGGCTTAATTTGGTAGGTGCTATACTGTCAGCATCTCATCTCTGTACCAGCATGGGAAGAACAAAATAAGAGGATCTTTGATGATAAATGCTTGAGGAAGCAGTGATGAAAACAATCCTGGCATGGATGATGCGTTGGGTCAAAACTTTATCCAGTCTTGCTCATGTATCTTCTGATGATATTGCTTTAAATTGGCAAATCATTGCCAACTCCTCTACAGCAAGATTGAGAATAAGCATCCTTTGACTGCCACCAGCGTTACAGAATGTCAAAATGAACTTTGATGGCTATAGTTTAGGGAAATCAGGTGGTTAAAGTATTAGAGTAATACTTAGATGATTTGATGGGACTGTAATGGCACTCTACTCAGGATCCAGTGCTCATGGAGGTTCAACTAGGGCAGAACTGATTGCATTGTTACATGGGTTTAGATTGCAGGAATCTAAACGACATAAATATAATAGTGGAGGGGAGTTCCAAGGTAGTGTTACATGGTTGAGAAATATTGCCCTGGGAACATGGACATATAGATATTAAGGGAAGTTGGATCATTGGCAGAACCGATGGCCACCTACCAATAGGTCCCTAGATGTGCAAACAAGCATGGCTGATGCCTTAGCCAGCAAGGGTAGACATATCAGATCTATTTTAGGGACAGGTTCCAAGGGGAATCTGATGTATAAAATGTTTTGGGGTAGATAGCATGTGCGTGGCTACAAAGTTTCTTCTTACCATATAAGTTTACCTTAGAATCTGGGTTTGCCAAGCTGTTTTTTCTTCCCTTTACCGTAAAAGTGATTAACATTAAAAGAAACATTGTTATGAATTCCATCCAAGCCCTATTATGCCCAAATTATTAGCTATCACCCAACCTGCCTGTGCCAGAAGGAAAAAAAATCATGTCAAAATGAAAATCAAAGTTATGTGGCTGATTGATTGCCTTTCTTATCTGGAGATGATACACATAAACTTCTTCTTGAAGCAGCACCATTGATAATCACAGTCCCTATAAGGATTCGATGAATGTTTGCATCAATAAAAAAAATTTAAATTGGGATGAAATGGGAATTACTTTCCGGATTCTAGCTTTTAAGTTTCATTATTTTACTGTTTACTGTGATGCATGACACCCTTATCATCAAATAATAAAGGTAACAATATCATATTACAATTTCAGAAAAGTATGCGATGGGGATTGGTCCAGGCATTATAAGATATATTCTCGTAAGAAGAAGGCCAACAAACAGATTCTGATGTGGCATGGGGAAGACTCCTGGGACTTGGATTGATCTGGCCAGCGGTATTTTCGTCATTTTACCAGTCCCATGTGGGCTTGGGCTGTAGCATCATGTTCCTCTAGCTTACTAGTGCTTGTCTTTCAATTTTCAGTTTGTTTGCTTTATTAGATAGAAAGTTGTGTTCTTGTAATTATGGTGAACAGTATTCCGAGCCACACGTCACTCTATAAATAGATGTATTCTCTTCCTTTTAAAGCTAATGAATGAATGAATGAATATTTCTTTAGAGCTCTCTTGCAAGTTTGCTGTATGGAGTGATTCCTACAAACCCTAGTGTGATTCTAAGATCCTTGGAGTGATTCCTTGGGATTTCTGTCTTTCTTTCTCTACCCTTTCTTCTCTCTCTCTCTCTCTCTTGTGGTAGTTTATTCCAGCCCTACTGCACAAGTATGCGACTTTGATTATGTTCAGTGTTCTGTTGCTTAATTTTTTTCCTTTCAAGTAATATATGTTTCTCAAGTACATATATGAAAATTGGTAGAAGTAGTAGGCTACAAAGTGGGGTAATTGCTGACGAAATGTTTAGGAATGCCTCTCGGGGAAAATGCATTTCCGATAAGATATGGGAGCCTGTGGTGGAAAGAATTGAAAGGAAGTTAGCTACTTGGAAGCCAAAATACCTTTTCAAGGGTGGAAAATTAATCTTGTTAAAAAGTGTGCTTTCTTCTTTTCCTACTTACCTTTTATCTTTCTTCCCTATTCCGGCCAGCATAGCCAAGGTTGTAGAAAAGAAAATGAGAGGCTTCCTGTGGCAAGGGTGGAAAGAGGATTTCAAATTCCACTCGGTCAATTGGAACAAAGTGTGCAGACCAGGAAAATTGGGGGGATTAGGGATAAGAAAAGTTAGAACTTTCAACCTGACTTGCCTTGGCAAATGGTACTGGAGATGGAATGAACAATCTACAAGTGAGTGGAGAAGAACCATCTTGGCTAAATACGGTTCAAGGAATCATGGTTGGGAGCTGGGAGAATCCAGCTTGTCCTATGGATGCGCAGTCTGGAGAGGCATTCAAAAATCAGAATCAGATTTCAAGAAAGGAATAAAACTGGTTGCAGGAGATGGAACAAGAATCAGATTTTGGCATGATATCTGGTGTGGCAGCAGACGTCTCAAAGAGAGCTTTCGAACCCTTTTCAAGATATCACACAACAAAGACTGCCTAGTTTCAGAGACATTCTCGCAGGATCAAGGGGCTGGAGTTTGAAGCCCCTTCTTCAGAAGGAATCTAAATGATTGGGAAATAGAGCAATGGCTGGTTTTGATGCTGTAATCTGAAGTGCTATACTCGAAGTAGCAAGGAAGAAAAGAGAATGACAGAAAAGAAGAGAATGTCGAACTGTACTAGCCAGTCGACCAGTTCTTTATTTATAGATGAATATAGTACAAGGTACAAGAAATTACTGGGATGCCCCTGATTAGTGATG